AAGTAGAGGGTCAGTGAAAAAGAGGAAGACCCTCAATGAGATGGATTGACCCAGTGGCTGCAATGGTAGGCTCAACCATAGCCACTCCTCAGAAGGAAGGTGGGGCAATCTACTTCCATAGTGATACCACCTCAGAAACCCAAGGAGGGGTCACTATGAGTTAGATCCAATTCAACAGCAGTGAGATTTTTTGATAGAACTAACAAGAAGCTCTGGTAGCTTAGTGGTTAAAGTATTTGGTTGCTAACCAAAAGGTCAGTGGTTTGAACCCACCAACTAGTCTATGAAGAAATATGATGCAGTCTGCTTCCATAAAGATTTACAGCCTTGGAAACACTATGGGGCAGTTTTACTCAAAATGAGAAGAAAGAGCTGCAAATATCCATTAATAACTGGAACGCGAGTGTATGAATGTAGGAAAATTGGAAGCTGTAAAAAAAGAAATAGAATGTATAAAGATCGATATCCTAGGCACTAGTGAGCTGAAATGGACTGGTATTGGCCATTTTGAATCAGAAAATCATATGGTCTAGTATGCCTGGAGGAGCTCTGGTAGGCACAGTGCCTAAGGTACTTGACTGCTAACCAGAGGGCTGGCGGTTCAAACCCACCAGTCACTCTTCGGAAAGAAGATGGGGCAACCTACTTCCATAGTGATACTGCCTTGGAAATCCAAGGAGGGGTTGCTATGAGTTGGGTCCGACTCAACGGCACATAACAGCAACAACAATAGTATGCCTGGAATGGCAAATTGAAGAGGTATGGTGAAGCATTTATCATCAAAAAGAACATTTCAAGACCGATCCTGAAGTACAATGTTGTCAGGGATAGGATAATATCCATATGCTTACAAGGAAGACCAGTTAATATGACTATTATTCAAATTTATGCACCAAACACTAAAGCCAAAGATGATAGGTATATAAGTTTTTTTTTTTTTTTTTTTTAACCAGCTTCTACAATCTGAAATTGACCAAACATGCAATCAAAATGTATTGACAATTACTGGTGATTGGGATGAAAAAGTTGGAAACAAAGAAGCATCAGATGTTGGAAAATATGTCTTTGGTGACAGAAATGACACCTGAGATCACATGATAGAATTTTGCACTACCAATGACTTATTCATTGAATAACATAAACAACATAAACAGCAATTATTCACATGGACCTCACCAGATGAAATACACAGGAATCAAATCGACTACATCTGTGGAAAAAGAAGATGGAAAAATTCAGTATCATTAGTCAGAACAATGCCAGGGGCTGACTGCACAAAAGACTATCAATTGCTAATGTTCAAGTTTAAGCTCAAGATGAAGAAAATTAGAACAAGTCCATGAGAGCCAAAATGTAACCTTGAGTACATCTTACCTAAATTGAGAGATCAGCTGAAGAACAGATGACTAAAGACCAGATGAGTTGTGGAATTACATCAAGGACATGATATGTGAAGAAAGCAAAAAGTCATTAAAAAGACAGGAAAGGAGAAAACCAAAATGGATGTCAGAAGAGAATCTGAAACTTGCTCTGAAAAGGAAAGTGACTAAAGCAAATGGAAGAAATGATGATGTAAAATTGCTGAACAGATTTCAAAGGGCAGCTTGAGAGGACAAAGTAAAGTATTATAGTGAAATGTGCAAAGATCTGGCATTGGAAAATAAAAGAGGAAGAACATGTTTGACATTTCTTAAGCTGAATGAATTGAGAAAAAAAAATTCAAGCCTTGAGTTGTGATATTAAAGGATTCTAAGGGCAATCCAGGAAGCATCATCTATTGAACAATCCAGGGAGCATGAAAAGAAGACTGAAGGTGTACAGAGTCACTGTACTGAAAAAAAAATTGGTCACCATTCAATCATTTCAGGAGGGAGGAAATGATCAAGAACTGATGGTGTTGAAGGATGAAGTCCAAGCTGCACTGAAGGAACTACTGAAAAACAAGGTTCCAGGAATTGGTGGAATCCCACTGAGTTGTTTCAACATGGGGATACAGTGCTGGAGTTGCTTGCTCACTTATGCCAAGGAATTTGGAATGCAGCTATTTGGCCAACCAACTGGAAAAGATCCATACTTTTGCCCATTCCAAAGAAAGGTGATACAATAGAATGCAGAAATTACTGAGGCATGTCTTTAATAAGACACACAAGTAAAATTTTGCTGAAAATAATTAAAAAACAGTTTCAGCAGTACATCGACAGGGAACTGCCAGAAATTGAAGCCAGATTCAGAATGGGGATATCATTGCTGATGTCAGATGGATATTAGCTGAAAGCAGAGAATACCAGAAAGATGTTTACCTGTGTTTTATTGACTACGAAAAAGCTTTTGACTGTGTAGATTATAACAAATTATTGATAACACTGTACAGAATGGGAATCAATAACATTTAATTGTGCTCATAAGGAATATGTACATAGACCAAGAAGCATCCATTCAAACAGAAAAAGAGGATACTGCATGGTTTAAAATCAGGAAAGATGTGCATCGGGGTTGTATCCTTTCCACCATACTTATTCAATCTGTATGCTGAGTAAATAATCCAAGAAGCTGGACTAGAAGAAGAACTCAACATCAGGATTGGAGGAAGACTCATTCACAACCTTGCTTGCTGAAAGTGAAGATGACTTGAAGCACTTACTGATGAAGATCAAAGACTTCATCCTTCAGAATGGACTATACCTCAACATTAAACAAACAAAGAAACAAAAAACTCACAACTGGACCAACAAGCAATATCATGATAAATGCAGAAAAGATTGAAGTTGTCAAGGATTTCATTTTACTTCGATCCACAATCAACACCCATGGAAGCAGCAGTCAAGAAACTAGACAATGCATTGCAGTGGGCATGTCTACCACAAAAGATTTCTTTAAAGTGGTTAAGAGCAAAAGTGTCACTTTGAAGATCAAGGTGTGCCGGACCCAAGCCATTGTATTTTCTATAGCTTGATATACATATGAGAACTGGGCAATGAGTACAGAAGACCAGAAGAATCGATGCATGATTCAGTAAGGGTGTTGGCAAAGAATATTGAATATATCATGTACTGCTGGAAGAACGAACAACTCTGCCTTGGAGGAATTACAACTGAATGCTCCTTTTAAGAGAGAATGGCCAGACTTCGTCTCTCATACTTTGGTCATGTTGTCAGAAGAGACTAATTTTTGGAGAAAGATATGATGCTTGGTAAAGTAGAAGGTTAGTAAAAAATGGGAAGACACTCAAAGAAATGGACAAAGTGGCTGCAGTGATGGGGTCAAGAGTAGCAGTGATTGTAGGGATGGCACAGGACTGGGCACTGTTCCATTCTGTTGTACACAGGGTCACTATGAGTCACAACCAACTCAGTGACACCTAATAACAACAACAATATAGAGTTGCTATGAATAGGAATCGATTCAACAGCAGTGGGTTTGATTTCTGGAAGAACTACCAAATACTTTAATTTCTCATTAAGAGATGGTAGTAGCAAGGCATTTGCAATCTTGTTTCCTTAAACTGTATGGGGTTTCATAGTCTCCTCCACACACACTAACTGTGGAGAAGGCTCTCTACTCCAGTGAATACTGACGGAGAGGGAACCTGAGTAGAGAGCAGTGAGAGAAAAGCTGACCAGGTGAGGTAAGAGTGGGGACAATGATCAAGGTAGGGCTTACAGTGCTGAAGCTTTAAGAGGCAGCAAAACTGCCAAAACCTCGCCTAAATGTAGGTCTAAGAATAAAAGCCACCGTGTGAATCTTCTGACTCCAGTCCCCGCCACTCTGATGTTACAGTGGACTAGCCTATCTGACCACAATGCTATTACAGCCCTTAGTTTTTTTTCATCAAGAGTAACTATTCATCTCTTAAATACTTTTTTTTTCAGCTTTGCTACGTGCAGGCCTCTGTGCTGCCCTTCAGATGAACTGATTAAGAGCTATTCTTTGTACCTCTTTATAATTGATGTCATTTACCAATTTATGGTTATTTTAATATGGTAAAATCATGCCCCTACCCCCAATATCATAAAGTTAGAGAATGAGCAAACAAAATAGAAGGAAAAAAGAGTTGTGGATGATGTTACTCACAGAACAACTTGTCAGACAGGTAGAGAGATGAAGAGAAATCTCCTGATAATCTCTGAAAAGCCACCATGCATTGGGCCAGATAGGTCAGCAAATTATGGTCCATAGGCCAATTCCAACCTGATGTTTGTTTTTTTATAAATAGAGTTTTACTGGAACATAAAACAAAACAAAACAAAAAAACAAACTCACTGCCATTGAATTAGATCCAACTCATAGTGACTATGGAAGTAGATTGCCCAATCTTCCTTCCAAGGAGTGGCTGGTGAGTTTGAACTGCCAGCCTTCTGGTTAGCAGTCAAATGCTTTAGGCACAAGGCCACCAGAGCTTCTAATTACTTTTTTGAATTTAGCCACTCTCATTTGTTTCATATTTAGCCATTCTAATAGGTGCGTAGGAGCTCTGGTGGTGCTGTGGTTAAAGCATTGGGCTGTTAACAAAAAGGTCAGTGATTTGAACCCCCCAGCCACCTTGCAGGAGAAAGATGAGACAGTCTGCTTCTGTAAAGATTTACAGCCTTGGAAACCCTATGGGGCAGTTCTTCTCTGTCCTACAGGGTTGCTATTAGTCAGAATCGACTCCATGGTAGTGGGTTTGGTTATTTTATGGATATTGTTGCTTTACAACAGTAAAGCTGAATAGCTATTACAGAGAATGTATGGCTCACAAAGCCTGAAAATTTACTTGATGAAAAAAAAAAGTTTGCTGACTCCTGGTCTAGAAGTAAAAATATAAAAAGTTTTTTTTTTATTCTGATAGAAGAATTCTGATTTGACAGTATTACTATAGCATACAGCTCATCTCTCATGTATGTGTTATTTCTCAGACTTGCTTATTGAGTTTTACAAACAATTATAAGTCCATTTCAGAGGTAAAAATTGAGTTGTCATTAACTTCAAAATTTTTTGTTTCATTCTCATTCTAGAAATTGGCTGGTGACAAATCAAACATGAAGTTTGCAGTTTTGTTTTCTTTTATTCTGCTTGTTACTCTTCATATTGACTTTGGACTAAATAAAGAAACTCCTAGGAAGCAAAGAAGCAAGATGTATTACCAAAGATTAAGGAAACATTCCTCACCCAACCACAGGTCAAACAGACAGATTGGGGTACAGCAAACAACTACTGTCACAGCAGCAGCAAGATTTCCCATTGTTAACTTTGGATATAATATAGAGGAAAAATTTGAATCCTTTTCAAGTTTTCTTGGAGAACAATCAAATTATAATGTGTTACCAGGTAAGAAAAAAGTATGACAGCTTTCAAGAGAAGAGAGAGAAAACTTCCATGCATATAATTCTCAAAAACAAAATAAAATAAAAAATCCACAAAATCAAACAATTCAGGTTATTATAATTTGTTTCATCTATAAACTTTTAAACTTTAAACTTTTAAAATAATTTAAAGAATCATTTATGGAACAATGCTAACAATACAATTCTGCTGGAAAAAGAAATAAATTAATTATCTTATAACTATTCTTATAAAACCACAATTACCATTTTGATTTATTAATCATAATATGTAATACATATAACTTTAAACTACTTTCTCATTTATAATGATAGATGTAGAGGACAGAAATAAATTATTAGATGATTCTACAAATACATGGTTATTAAACATAACCTTTCATTTTAACTTTCCTTGTAATTTTTCCCTCCCTTGTTCTCCAATTTCCCCATTTCCTATGTATCTACTGGTCTCTTAATTTTGCCTTCCCTTTTCTTTGCTTTAAGGAGCTCTGGTGATATAGTGGTTAAGGCATTTGGCTGCTAACCAAAAGGTCAGAGGCTTGAACCCACCAGCTGCTCCGTGGGAAAAAGATGAGGTAGTCTGCTTCCGTAAAGATTTACAGCCTTGGAAACCCAATGAGGTTTGCCATGAGTTGGAAATGACTCGATGGCAGTGAGTTTGGTTTGGTTTTTGGTTTTTCTATGCTTTATCTTCTTTTAATTCCTTTTTTTGGGTAATATTAAGACCCCAGATACATTAACTTGGGAATTTGGCTACTTCCTAGAGAGCCACAGATCATAGCAAATTTCACACCAAGTTTAACCTAGTGGGAGAACAGGAAAGGATGACAGGTAGAAACCAACATAAAAAAGATGCATGAATTAAGTAAGTTTAGAAGTTTATTCGATTACTGCAATTACTTCAAACTCTCATTTTTTTTTTTTTTAAATTCTCATTTTTATACTGTCTTTACACTGTCAATGCCTGTATATAGGTATTTTATTAGATTTTCAAAAAGTCTTTTTGGCTGTAATATTGAAATAGTATTTTTAAATGTATTTTTTTTTTTTCAATTTTCATCAAGAAACTAATATATACATCTCTAAGCAACATGTAAGTAAATGTCTTATTTCAGCAGAGAGCTTTGTTACGGTCTTTCATTTTTATTTCTTATTCATACTGTAGAAATTTTTAAAAACAAAAGTGGAGTTAAAACCACTGAATGGTTTTATACAAACTATAGGTAGTTCCCAACTTACAGTAGTATTTTGAACAGTAAATCATAACACTGAACATCTGTGAATGAACATCAGAGAATAACATTAGCAAATTACATGCTGCAACATTATATGCAGTACATATTACTAAGAATAAGATGTACAAAAAGAAACCACAAAAAATAGACAATTGTAAGTGCAGTTCACTGTAACTCAAATATATCATAATTCAGAGACTACCTGTATTGAGTTTCTAAAGGTTCTGTCAAAGATTTCAAACAGGTCTTTTTAAAAAGCTAATGGTCCATGTTTTCTCAGGTTTGGCAGAAAACAGTAATTTATGTTAGAAATATGTTGCATTAAATAAAACTTTAAAATACAAAAGAAAATATCACTATATAATATTCTGTGGCCAATAGTTTTATCCATTATCTAAGTGAAACAAAACATTTCTAAATGATAACTATTTCCACTAAATTAACAGGAATGTTGTTGTTGTTGTTATGTGCCATCAAGTTGGACCCCACTCATAGCGACTCCTCCTTGGGTTTCAGAGGCAGTATCATTATGGAAGTAGAATTCCCAAACATCCTTCCCAGAAGTGGCTGGTGGCTTCTGATTAGCAGTCAAGTGCCTTAGGCACTATGATATCAGAGCTCCCAAATTAGCATACAATTATCATGAAAATAGGCAGTTTAAGACACATTTACAGCTTGAATGGGAAAGAGAATATGGAGGCAGGGAAATCTAATAATAGGTTCCGAAGGAAGGTTGAGCAATGTACCTCTGTAATGATATTGCCTTGGATTCCCAAGGAGGGGTTTCTATGAGTCGGGTCCGACTGGACGGCAGATGACAACAACAACAAAATAATAATAATAGGTACTATTATTATTGCTAGAAATTTATGATTGCTAGAAATTTATGAAGTCAATTTCTCTAGTTAAGTGGAAGGATGTTCAAGCTATAATAATAGAAGGTAAAAAGGCTAAAGTAGTGTATAAAATGTCATCACAAATCTATTTAAAAACAGAAAATGTATGTAATAACAGTAGTATGTGTAAAATAGAGTTGCAAATGTATACTAAACATTTCTGAATTATCTAAGAATGTTTCCCAAAGGTCCTGTATTACTTTTTTCCTAATTGTGGTAAAAAATGCATCACAAAATTTATCATTTTAAAGTGTACAATTTAATGGCATTTGTACATTCACAATGTTGTGTAACCATCTCCACCATCAAGTTTGATAACATTTTCATTACCCAAAAGAAAATTTTTATGCATTAAGTGGTCATTCTCCATGCTCTCTTCCTCTCAGCACCTGGCAACTACCAATCTGCCTTTTGTCTTTACAGACTTGCCTGTTCTGGATATTTCATATAAATGAAATAATACAATATGTAGCCTTTCTATAGTTATCGGTCTTTCATTTAGGTCATTGATTCTTTTTTTTTAATTTTTATTGTTATTTGGGTGAAAGTTTACAGAGCAATTTCATTTTCCATACAGCAATTCATACACCACTGATTCATTTTTTAGTTAATTTTTATACACACACTCCTCACTTACTGATGTGGTTAGGTTCCAAAGATCAGGTTGTTACGTCAAAATTGGCATTATAAGAAAATAGAGAGTGACCATATCAAATCACAAATGGAAAATGATCACTTAATTACATCATTACACAGTTGTCAAATGACTGAGAATCATGGCCCAGCCCAGCTGACAAATAATCTTAACCATCACAGCCAGCATTACTCTCACTTTGTTTCTTAGCATTCATTACCAAAAGATGTACATCATTAATGTGCAAAATAGTCAGATAGCAGATTTTTCACTATGGTCATAAATGTGAAATGTCAGATAATGAGACAGTCAGTAAGTGAGGTATAGTTGTACAAGGTGGGAGTTGAGAGTCCAACTTTATACTTTTGCGTGTGAAAATCCAGGTGTCCTAGCAACATTTACTGAAGAAATTATTCTTTCCTCTCAAATGGACTTGGCACCCTTATTGGAAATTAATGGCTATATATATATAATATATAAGTTTATTTCTGGACTATCAATTCTATTCCATTGATCTATATGTCTACCCTTACGCTGATACCACACTATTTTGATTATTGTAGTTTTGTGATGCATTTTGAAATCAAGTAATGTGAGTCCTTTAACCTTGTTCTTCTTTTTCAAGATTGTTTTGGCTACTTGGAGTCCCTTGTAATTCCATATGGATTAAAGCATCAACTTTTCTATTTGCAGAAAAGGCTGCTGGTATTTTGGTAGGATATAGTACTTTTATAGCCAGGAAAAAAATTTCTACTTTTTTCTGGGGGCAAGGGAGTTGGGTGTAGGTGGGTGGATTAATCTACTGCAAGTATCCAAAGGTGAGATGGATACAGCCTGAAGTGGGCTGAAACAGTGGTGAGGGAAAGGAGGAGACAAATGTGAGAACTCATTTGGGGATGGAATTTGGACACATTGGCATGTTAGATTAAGGAAAGTTATTGGGTTGACACCTGGGTGAAAGGAAAACATCCTTTTAGTATGCTCCTCACTCCTAATAGCCTGTTTACTTGATACATACAGCCACAGTCCCAAAGGCATGTGTTTTTATCTATAACCCAATAATTAAGAGAAATGAACATGTTAAAAGACACTGCATTGTACACTTTAAGAGCGTGAATAATATGGTATGTGAATTCAATTTCAATAATAATGAAAACCCTAAAAGAAGATGTAGTTGCAATACCTTTCTGAGAATTCAGTTTCAGAAGTGCCACAGAAACATGATGGTGCCCTTTTCCCCGCCTGTGTGTATATTAAGAAGAGTGGGGTGTGGGCTTGTCATTGATGCTGTCCAGCTTGCTGCTCTAGATACTGATGAAACTGCATGTTGTTCCCCTTCTGAGGCTGCTTTGGCCATATAATTGCCTTAGCCAATAAAACAAGATACTTTAGAGCATGTACGTATATGGTTTGAATCCACTCACTCCCACTGCTGTGGCACTTATGGCAGCTTGCTTTGAAATAAAGCCTAGTTGAGGTTGCTGAGTGACTAGAACGTGCAAGGCTCCTGTACTCCCACCTTGGACATAAAGTATGAATGAGAACTAAACTGAGATTTGGAGGTTGTTTGTTGCTGTTGTATAACTTTGCCTATCTCGACTGATATAAGGTGGAAATGGAATTTGGAGTCCAGTTACCATGAGGAAATCACTCTCATGGCTTAATGAGAGAGGTGGAGAGGAGATGTGTGACAGGCATTTCAGAGGATTACATATACCCTATCCATGAACACACAAATAGCACTATTCTTGTGTAGCTATGCCAGTTTGACTTCATACTTTGTTCATTTCTATTCACAAACGCTGAGACTGACATAAGGAATTTAACATATCCCATGTGTGTTATTTGTGCTCTTCTAGGAAAAAAGGGGCACTGCTTGGTCAAGGGGATGATGATGTACAACAAAGCTGTCTGGTCTCCTGAGCCTTGTCTTACCTGCCTCTGTTCAAATGGAAGAGTGCTTTGTGATGAAACCATGTGCCATCCTCAGACCTGTTCCAAAACATTTATACCTGAAGGAGAATGCTGCCCAGTCTGCTCAGATACTGGTATATATAGAGTCCACCAAAACAAAATACTACATATGTTTTAGACTTTAATTATCATTTGTTTTTATTCTGACATTATCCTAAGCTTTAAATTATGGTAAACTAGTCAACAGGGCATTAAATTTTGGCACAATGCCGACAGAAAATATTTGGAAAAATGTATGGTAGGGGATAGCAATAAAACATCTTGGTTTTACAGCTCTGTTAAACTGAGTAAACTTGGATCAGATTACATTCCACACTTGACTCTCTTGGGTAATACAACATGTGTTAGCTTTATAGATGTAGCAATAGCATCTTCTACAACTAATGTTGTCGTGGGGAGCTCTGATAGCATAGTGCCTAAGGCACTTGACTGCTAACCAGAAGCCTGGTGATTCAAACCCACCAGCCACTCCTCGGAAGGAAGGTTGGACAATCTACTTCTGTAGTGATACTGTCTCAGAAACCCAAGGAAGTGTCGTTATGTGTCAGGTCCGACTCGATAGCACACAACAACAACAACAACGTTGTTGTGTGTCATCAAGTCAATTCCAACACATGCCAACTGTATATGACAGAGCAGACCTGGCCCCATAGGGTTTCCTAGGCTGTAATCTTTATGGGAACAGATTGCCAGGTCTTTTCTCCTGCAGAACCACTGGTGAGTTTGAACCCCCAACCTTAAGTGCTAAGTTGGCACTTAACCATTGTGTTACCAGGGCTCCTATATATACATGTAAGTGTTGATACATACATACATACATACAACATTACGGAGCTCTTATTATGTGTTAGGACCTCTGCTTAGTGCTTTATACGCATTATCTCATTTAACCCAACACAATATGGGTACAATCATTACCTTCATTTAGATATGCAAAATTCATGGTGAACAAAGTAGGAGTGGTTTCCATCTGATGAGAATGAAACCCTAACTCTCCAGTCTGCCCTCAGTCACTCAAAAATAGTGTGGGAGCTTGTGGGCCATTACTTCTTGAATTATCTGAGGGTAAAAAGGAGAATAGTCTGGGAGCAATGGTCTCTTGTTGCATTTCTGTACACAGAAGGTCATATCTTGCAGTTTTCTTGGTTGATTACTAATCCTTATCAAATGATTGCACAGGAATGAGGCCTACACCTTACTTTATCCATGGATATTCCAAGAAAGAATAGCCAATGCCTTATGAAAATAAGCAAATAAGTATTTGTTAAATCATTAATGACGGGAAGGGACAGGAAAATTTTCTATTTTCTCTGGCTGCAAAAGTCTCCTGCCAGATAGAACAATTAGAATATTTAGAAATTGCATTTGGCTTCATGTTACCAATTATTTCACTAAGGTATTATGCTTTTTTAAAATGTTAGAGAATAAAAGTGTTTAATGAAACTGATTGTTTGGGGTGAAACACAAAGTACACAAGACAAGATTCAGAAATTCTCAGATATTTTTCAAAGGATTTTGAATATTCTTGAAATGCTATTGTTATTCTTTAACAATAAACTTGGATATATAGGAAGTATTTTCAGTGTATGAATATGACAGCATTAGTTTTCTCTTACTAATTTTTCCTATTCTCTTTCTGCATGTTCTGTTAGAGATGTAACTCACAGACGTTATAATATGTACTGAACTGATACATCAAGAAATTTGTTCAAATAATAGTATTTCTAATTTCTTTATTGGACTAATTCATATATATTATTAACTGTACATAGGGGAATGGTAAAACAAATTTATAAATTTTGATGGAAGAAAACCTGTGTAATTATGAACTCAATTCTCTCTTCATTTAGAGAGTGAGTTTGAGTTCTAGTTTTTGTCATGTTTTTCCTGCTTTCTGATAAAAATAATAATGGCTAAATATAAAAGGAGACTAACTCTATACTATTATCTATTCTTCCTCATCATTATGAAATGATAAAAAGCATTTTTGCTCACATGTCTAGATAAAGCACCATCATGAAGTCCTCTAAGTCTCTGATAAGTCTCATACAGTAAAAATGAATTAAATAGAGCCTAAAAGGGAAATGGAGAACTTTATATATTCCTAAATTCTAGAGTGTATATTAGGTTTATGGAGCTAAAAGAATAAAATCAGATAAAATAATAAATCCATAAACACAAGCTGATCTCTCTATCACAAGAAAGTAAAATGTACTTATATTTCACTTTTTTATGTCTGATGATGGCCTACAAATTCTTACATTATCCATAACCCTAAGTAACTAAACGATCTCTATTATAGAGGTATTACATCTGATTATATACCAATCTGACAATAGGACTGTTTATCATTTTGTATCATGTGCCAATATTATTCCTCCTTTAGTCATCAGGAAGCATATTCTTTTAGTAAAAATAAGTATTAAGACTCAGAGACCAAAAAGAAAAAGTCTATAAAAGATGTTAAAAAATAAAGTTTGCATTAAAACTTTTCAAGCAAAAATTTCAAGATGTACTTCATCTTTCAAGAGCACTACATTTGCTAACTTTATTGTCATTATCTTCCCTTTTATTAACATCATCAACTTGTCCCGGTTATTGCCTTTTGCCTGGTCATTCATTAGTCTATTCCCTGTTCAATGGTATAGCATTAAATAATATAACTGAATTTTCTGGTGATTCTTTAGAACAAAGAGAACTTACCAGTTTACTTTATAAGCAACCACTACCTACTCAGGTGGACATGGATCAAGAATTAAGAAAAAAAGCATTTCAGTGTGAGGAAGAGAAGAAGGAAGAATTTAAAGAAGATAGTATGGAGCAAAAGACAAAAAGCTCTGGACCTCAAGATCAGAGAAAACTAGATAATGAGGAGGAAAAAAGAGAGGAAGAGCAAGAGCAGAGTGCTCAAGAGGAGGAGATGCAGGCGTATCAACATCTAAATGAAGGAAGGGAAGACGAGGAGGATGAGGAAGGAGATGAAGATGAAGAAGATACTGTCAGAGATGGTCTCAGAATACCCTCTCAATTTCCAAAACCTGCTCCTCCTAGAGACACACCACCTCTGCCACACAGGTGCTCTCTGTCTTATAAGACCATAAGCTGCATAAAAGTGGAACTCACAGAGATACCACCAATAAAAGCACCAGAGATAACAAGTCTGGAGCTTGTTGGTAAGAGATGTTGACTTCTGTTTTATTTTGTGCTTTAAAAGTAAATGACATCTGATGGTCCTAAGAACATTACATTTTAATTTCATAATAATATAAATTAACCATGAAAAGATTTTCAAACATATAATTAAACTCTGCAGAAGAGATTATATGAGCTTAATGTAGAATAGTTATATATAAAGCAAATTCATCCAAATCACATTAATGATTTTTCCATTGACCTTTTTGTTTTTAAAGTCTGCTTTATTACAGTATAATTTGCAGAGTAAAACTAATTTTTATTGTACATTTCAATGATATCTGGTAAATTCACACAGTCATGTAACCACCACGGCAACCAAGATATAGAACATTTCCACTTCAAAATTCCCCATGTCCATCCCTGGAAACCTCTGACTTGTTTTCTGGCCCTATAGGTTTGCCTTTCCAAAAAGGTCATATACATGGACAGTACCTTTTCAGTTGTGCTTCTTTCATCAGCATAGTGATGTGGAGATTCAACTATGTTGTTGTGTGTATCAGTAGTTTGTCCTCTTTACTGCTGAGTAGTGTTCCATTGTATGGATGGATCACAGTAATCAGGGGATATCTGTGTTGTTTCCAGTTTGGATTGATTATAAAGTTGTTATAAACATTCATATATAGATACTGGTGTGGACCTAAGTTTTTGTTTCTCTTGGAGTGGGACTGCTTAGCCATATGGTAAATATATGCTTAACTATATAAGAAACTGCCAGGCCTATCTTCAAAGTAGTTGCACTTTCCTACCAGTCATGTAGACGAATTTCTGATGCCTCATACCCTGGTTAATACTTTGTATTATTAGTTGTTTTCTCCCTCATTTTCACTGTTCTAGTGAGTAGGCAGTGGCTTAGACATTTTGCCCATGTTTTAATGGGGTCAACTGGCAAGTTTTGAGTGGAGAAATGTCATGATCAGATATGTGTCTTAGGTTGGCTGGAGGGAAGGCTGGACTAGACTGGATGGACCTGGGCATTCATCTGTGTAAGAAGGCCCACACTAGGGGTGGCCTGAAGATGCAAGTGTGACAGAGTCTGAATAGGGCTCAGAGTACATTTCAGGAGGAGGGTGACTCCTTTGCTGTTATGCTCATGATTGACTTGGGTAAAGTCCCTAGAAGCAGGCCCTGAGAGTAGAATTTAGATGCAAATGATTTATAAGAAGTTGTCGCAAGTGAAACTGGTAAGGGAATGGGGCCTATTGACTTTTTTTCAACTCTAAAGTGTATTATCATTGAGAAGAATACTCAATAGACAAAGTTCAACACTTTTGACTAGGAATGGCCAGTCTGAGAACATTCCTAGTGTCACAATGACTGTGGCGTTAATGCGCTTCTTGACATCAGGTCCCATACCTAGTGATCATTCAGCTCCAATAAGGTTCTTTGCTCCTTTGGCCTATGTGCCAGTTACACTCAGCTTTAAGGAAAACTGACTTGAGAAATCTAAAGTTTTACAAAAGATAAACGATCCATGGTTGGTCACATTATCAAATCTTGGCTTTATAAGATCACCATGTTGTTTTTATAGCATTACTACTCAAGTAAGCTCATTTGTTTTTTGTTGTTTAAAATCATCAACTCCTATACTTGGTTAAATGTAAAATACACACACATACACACACAAAAGCTTCATAAAATTAAGGCATATAGAACTTTTATAGATTGAAGATAGAACAGAATCAAAGAGAAAAATCAGAGACACAACATTAGAATAGGAGGGGACTGAAGAGATTACTTTCTGAAACTTCTTAGAGAAAGAAACTGATGCTCAGAGAAGGTAAGTATTGTGCTTGATGTTTCACTGATAAAAACAGCATCATTTCCAGCCCAGGTCTAAGAAATGTCAATGGGGAAATATGAAGAACTATGAAAACCAATTCCACACAACTTCCAGAAACATATCGTAGTTGTAAAATATGAAATTGTCAAGCAGACCACATTCTGGATGCTTTAAGTGAGAGGCTTTATCTAAAACATGATATACTAGAACAAAGCAAGTCTTATGGAGAAAATTTTGACTATGTAACACAGTCTAGCTGTATTTTGTTATTTATATTTTGTTTTATACACACACACACACACACACACATATATATGTACATACACACACATGTACCTGTCATAAACTACTACTGCTTGTCCTAGGGAATTCTATCACTTCCATTCCAAATGAAGCATTTAATGGATTACCTGATTTGGAAAGACTTGATCTGAGTGAAAATAATATCACCTCTTCAAACATAGGCCCCAAAGCATTCAAGGTAAAAACATTATGATTTGATTTGCAAATAACAATATATTTAATCTGTTTTCCTGTGTGACTTGCACTGGGCATGATTGGAGGTAGGCAAGGGAAGATGTAGTAAAATCTCTATAGATGATAGTTTTCTCCCGAGTTAAGAAAGTTTCCTCACTGATATGCCCTAACCTGTATGAAAGTTTTATCCTGAATATAGTTTGTTGTTCTACATATTTCTAGCAGTTTTTCTATTCTTCATTCTTAGATCATCAACAATAGTGTTAATGATAAAAAAAAATGTTTTGCATTTATGGAGTAGCTTCTCCTCATGTAGCTGAAAACGTGTGAAAATAGGTTTCTTAGTCTATAAAGTACTTCCTGAGAATTAAGGAGAACTCATCAGAAAACTATCAACATTTTCAGGCCAGCAAGATGGAACATCATTAACTTTGTGCAATGAGCAAAATCTGATGCACAATCTGATGCAGAATACTTTGGCTGGAAGGGGTTCTAGAAAATAAAATGCACTCAGATGAAAAGTAGCATGTGGGGATATAGGTCAGGAAAGAAGAGGGGAAGAGAGAGAATAGGAAATAGAACAAACCTTTGAAAGAACTAGACTTGACTACAAACAACAACAATAACAAAAAAAAAAAAAAAAAGAGAGAGAGAGGAAAGCAATTTCAGTGAAACAACGGCAGAAGAGATGAGCAATTTGTGTGTGTGGACAAATACACACAAATGCATGCTCTTTAAAAAGCTTTAAGTAAAACATTATATCCCACTAGCTCAAACTTCTATTTATTCCCTTAGACAATCTTCTGCCCAAGCTGTGGACAAATCATGGCCCCTTTAACTCCAATTCTTGGTTTTTATCCAGATTCTAGGGTGGCAATAAGTGAGCTTCAGACATTTAAGGTGTCTGCATGCTTCTCAGACCAGCAATATCTGCCACAAGCCGTTTATCCACCTTCCTTATAGAAAGATGCTGGTGTTAGGGAGTCCATTTTCTGTATTGGACAAAGAGGCAGATGTTGTAGGAAATTACCTCCTTTTCTTGTTTTGGGATTCTCTGTCCTATTCTAAAACTGCCCCATAGGGTTTCCAAGGCTGTAAATCTCTATCGAAGCAATTGCCTTATCTTTTTCCCATGGAGCAGCTAGTGGGTTCAAACTGCTGACCTTTTGGTTAGGAGCTGAATGCTTTAACCACTATATCACAAAGTCATAAAATGTAGTTATCCTCCAGGCCATTCTACCTGGCAGGGTGAGTATGGGGACTGCTCATATGGCTCCAACTTTACTGTGTAAACCTATGTAAGTCAATGCAGGTTTGTGAGACTTAACTTACTAAATTAACTATTAAATAAGACACATGTCTGTAGATTCATGACTAAATAAAAGAGTAATTGAAATTTGCTTTTTTAAGCTTCTGAAGAAATTAATGTATCTGAATATAGATGGAAACAATTTGATACAGATCCCTTCAGAATTGCCATCTACATTAGAAGAACTTAAAGTCAATGAAAACAATCTCCAGGCTATCAGTGAAAAGAGTTTAGCAGGTATTATCATTTGATTTTACATTATAAGTTTCCATTTAACCTTCCTTCTATAGTTGTGTGGAAATTTTATCTACAGTTCTATAAATATGCATAATATTGTAAAAATATACAAATGAATGTTGTTGTTGTTGTTTGCCGTCGAGTCGGCCCCGACTCATAGCGACCCCTCCTTGGGTTTCCGAGGCAGTATCACTACGGAAGTAGGATCGCCCAACCTTCCTTCCGAGATACAAATGAATAGCTAGTAAAAAATTTTAAGGCCATTTTACTGCTAAATTGACAAAAGTTATTTTAACTGTTGACTGGTGGAACTTCTTAAAATGTATTGTAAACTGACTGTTTTGTTAAAAAGTACCTTACCATAAATAAAACTTTCTCTCAAAGATTTCAGATTATCATCATCCACAATACAATAACAATACTACAAATCCATAATATCCCAATAGTTACACTAAATAGTCCCCAAACTACCATGTGTTTCAATGGGTGTCTGTATTTATGTTTGTGCTGTTTTATTTCCTTAGGTGGTGACTAGGGAAGTGCCTATATCTATTAGAGGAATCTATTAAAATTTGTCAATTGAATCTCCTCTATCACACTTAAATATACTCCACCCACAACTCTCCCTGCCTCCTTACACTTTGTTATTTTTGTCAAATGCTGGAACCTAAAACCAAGCACATGAGCACTGTGTATAACATGAATAAATGGGCATTAAGTAAGAGGCTGAGATGCTATCCTACAGTAAAAGTACATAAATTTTAGTGTGTAAGCATTATGGTAATAACTTGAGTGCAATACTGGCACTCTTAAGTCAGCAAAATACTGCTATGCTCACACTGTGTGCCAAGTATCAATAAATGTGTTTGCATACACTGCTACCACTATATACAGCACCTGGCTATCTGAGTGAACAGGTTCTAGTGAAGGTACATCCATGTTCTGCATATTTGATATTGCTGGAATTGATTCTTTTTATCCTTGTTTCTTGACCATGTCTGAATAGTTGAAAGTTCATATTGTGAAGTCTGTATAAAAGAAGGATCATTACATTTAGTTTTTCACTTAATTCTAGCTAATGTCTTTGATTAGATGTACACGTGTTTAAGTCAAAGGCCGCCTCATTTTTTACTTTATCTTCTCATCAGTCTAACATATCTCTTGGAATATAGTGTTAAACACTTTTTGTTTACCTTATTTGAAATATACTTATTTTATTAATGTTGATAAATAAAGCCTTTAAAGGAATAATTTAGTTATTTCTTCCCCTCCCAAAAACTTCACAGGACTTAAAGGAAAAACACACTCTGGTGGTAGGAAAAGAACAATAATAATGAAAATTGCCAAATTGAGCATTACATAGCTATGGAAATATTCAATTTCTAGACAGTTTTCAGGGTACACATGAAAAACATTAATAAACACATATTTCAATGGGCTTTGTCATGTGGAAACGACATTAAAAAAACTCAATTTCTATCTGCTAGATTAAACAGAAACAAAAGGGAACACTTAATTTAAAACAAGTTCACTACTGAGCTGTATTTAAGATCAGATTCCTAGTTGTATTATCAAAATAATCATCATAAAACATGAATGTCTCACTTTGAAGGTGCCCTCAAACATCTAAGGTGCTTCTTTATCATCTCCTTCAGCTCTCTTTTCTCCCTCTTGCACACATATGTCCACTATTTCTACCCTGATAAACTGCAGTCCAGGATAAAATGGCCTCTACTCATTCTCCTCCCCTCTTGTCTCCAAAGCCCAAGCACCATACACAGCAGCTTCCACCTTGCCCAGTTTGGATGTCAGAAAGAAGGCATTCTTTTGTCATCTAGCCCAGAAAGCTCCCTTCTACACAGTTGAGGGCTCCGCCTTTGTTTGTTTTGGGTTCTTAGTCCTGATCTAGTGCTGGCCCAAGTTGCTGAGTTCTTAGCTCTACGGCATGCCATTCTGGTACTTAGTTGTCTCTCTGTTGCAATTACTGGCAAGCAAGTGAGGAGGGCGAGCCCAAACACAGATCACCAATTGGTGCTGTGGCTCCGTTCTTTTTCTGTGCGGAAGTTCTTGGCTTGGCTATCATTGGGTCTGCAGTTCCTCTGTAGTCTCTCTCATGACAGCACTTGTGACCCTTCCCAGGGAGAGAAAAGAGCATATGCAAAGCAGTGGAAAAATGAGAGTTGGATGTCCTGGGACTGCATGAAATTCTGTGAGATTATAGTACAGGTGTATATGAAGTGGGGGACAACAGGAGAGGTGTAAAATGACAGCAGGAATTAGATAAGGAAGAGTTTTATGTGCTGCCCTTAAACTCATGCACATGTGCATGCTCACACACACACAACCAATGCCACTGTCACTGAGTTGATTCAGACTCATAACGTCCCCCACTGGGTTTCCAAGGCTTTACAGAAGTAGATAGCCTCATTTTTGTCCTGCAGAACAGTTGGTAGGTTTGAACTCCTGACCTTCTTTTTACCTGCCAAATGCCTTACCTCCACGCCACCAGAGATCTAAAATTTATCTAGTAGGAGATGAAGACCTGAAGATCTTCAGATCTACTGAAGATCTTTAAGCAGGAAAGGAATTGGATGAGATCTGCATACTCAGTGAGGGGGAAAGGAAGGTCATTAAAAAAAGGCATAATATTGGCTATTAGGTTTTTGTATATGCCCTTAATTATGTGAGTGTTTTCTCCTCTATTCCTATTTTGCTGTGTGTGTGTGTGTGTTCTTTTTAAATCAAGAATTGGTGTTTGATTTTGTCAAATGCCTTTTCTGAGTCAACTGATATGATCTTTTTTTTTTTCCTTTGTATTATTAATTA